CTCTGCAAATGGTGTTCAGACCCCCTTTTTTTGGCAAAACACAGAAAGGAGAATTCTACGTAGTGAGGGATATAATCCCTAAGTGCGGCCGAAGGCCGCCTACGCAGAAAGGTTTTCTCTGCAAAAAGGTGTTCAGCCCCTCTTCTTTGGCAAAACAGAAAGGCTAATTCTGCCGCCTACTGAGAAAGGTGTTCAGCCCCTTTTCTTTGGCAACACAGAAAGGAGAATTATACGTAGTGAGGGTTATAATCCCTAAGCGCGGCCGAAGGCCGTCTACGCAGAAAGGCGTTCAGCCCCTTTTCTTTGACAACACTGAATGGCGAACTCTATGTAGTGAAGGTTATAAACCCTAAGCGCGGCCGATGGTCGCCTACGCAGAAAGGTGTTCTCTGCAAAAGGTGTTCAGCCCCTTTTCTTTGGCAACACAGAAAGGAGAATTCTACGTAGTGAGGGTTATAATCAGGGTTCGGAAATATTCACTCACCTTCGTACGCGAACGCGAAGGTGAACGTATCAAATATTATCTATTGATTCTCCTTCGCGAACGAGAAGCATAAAACCAGTCCAGATAGTTCGCGTTCGCGAATGTTAGGTAGAAAAAATTTCCGCTGTTTTTCGCACGCGTATGTATTGGTGGACCTGCGTTTAAAATTATGATTTTTTACACCGTTCTCCCGATTTTCCAAAAGGTGTGAAATGAAAGGGCTTGGCCTCTAGATGTGCAGTAAGGTTATAGTTTTTGAATAGGGTTGCCACCTGCGTTTAGAATTATGATATTTACACCGTTCTCCCGATTTTCAAAAATAAGATGTCAAATGAAAGGCCTTGGCCTCTGGATGAGCAGTAAGGATATATTTTTTAATAGGGTTGCCACCTGCGTTTAAAATTATGATATTTACAACATTCTCCTAATTTTCAAAAATGAGGTGAGAACGACAGCAGTGAACCTTCGCGAAGGCATCGCTGCCACTTATAGCTACATATATGAACGCACGCTGTTTGGTCCACCGATACATGACGCGTCAAGTGTAATGCCTGCGAGGGGTGGAATCACCTCAGAGTCTGCTCGGGACTACGGACACATAGACAGTGGACCACGTCGTACGTGGCCCCCTGTTGCTCAAACAGAGCAGCCTCCACGGCTAACCACAGTCCGCCCGAGCAGCCCCACACACTCACACAGCAGCCTCACACAGTCACCACAACACAACAACATAATAACACCACAGACCGTACCACAGCCACTACAGACCACATAAAACACACAACCGCACCACCACCCACACGCCGCCGCCAACAACTCCTGGTTCCCCCTACAATCTGCACGGTATGTCAGACCAGGATATTCCGTAATGTGACATCAGTCAAGTACAACACCTGCCTTGGCTGGTGCCACTTTAGGGCATGCTCAGGTCTGCGTACCACGCGAGATTGGACTGGGAACTTCGAGGGCCCGTGTTGCGCTGCTCGGTCGCAGACCCCAATTGCGACGCCCCCCACCACCACCACAGGGCGGCAATCACCACAGCAGCACACACAGCCAACGGCGGCAAGAACATACACTTCACTTACACCCCACATCACGACACGTCTCCCGAACCACATGAAGCTCCTTCAATTTAACTGCAACGGGCTACAGAGCAAGATTGAGGAGATAACCGTCTTCATGTGTCGGCATGGTATATTGATAGCTGCGGTCCAAGAGACGAAGTTGCACAGCAATTCAACTTTGTTAAATTGTACCGGGTACAACGTGCACCGTCGAGATCGCGAGCGAGATAATGGTGGTGGCTTAGCGTTCATCACGCACCACACCGTGCAGTATCGTCTTATCGAAGCAGACATCGACCGCAGGGATACC